TGATGACCGTTCCGGCTGCCCTCGGGCGGCAGGAGGGAGAGAGCACGGGCTGAGTGGTTTGCCTCTTTTTTTTTCGGCTGGTGAAAAATAGAATAACGTGGTGTTTAGAAAAATGATTGGTTTTTTGCAGGGAGCAATTTTTTAAAGGTCTCAAGTATCATGAGGAAGACTGGTAGGCCCCCCCCAAGCCTTTGAATGATGCTAGAGCCCAGCTGCCTCCTGCCTGGAAAGGATGGTACTTGCTTGCTCTTGAGCCCTTCAGTGGGCTCTGGATAGCAGTGACCAGTACAGGCCTTTCACAGGCAGGAGAGGGGAGCAGCCAGTCTGGTCTGGGTTTTAATGCCCAGGGAAGAGAGAGTTTTTCAGTGAAAAGAAATACTTTGAAAGATTGCTAGTACCCCGGTGTGGGAGTTAGGTGGCAGTATTCTTTCTGAGCTATCTGTCTGTCTGAGAAAATATTACTCGGTGTGTGCTGTTAAGATGAATTGCTGCTATTGAACAGGGTACTAGTCGTCATAGTGTGAGAGAAGCTTGGGAGAAGTTGTGTTCGATGTTGTCCTTTCACGCCATGCCATGCTGCAAAAGGCTGTGTGGTTCATGCTAGATCTGGAGGCGTGGTGAGCTTTCCAGCAGAGTCTGACTGGGGTTAGGGAGAAGCTACTTAATATTGTGCTGTTTATGCTTTGCAATGCTGTGAAAGACTGGGTAAGTCAGGCTGGAAACTGAAGCCCCTGGGTATCCCCTGGAGACAGGGGTTGGGAGAAACTGCTTGATATCATATTCGTGTCGCGGAGCTGGAAGTCCGTAGTACTTGGACTGGATTCGGAGGCATAAAGGATAGTGTTAAGATGGTACTCTCTGGGCTTGTTTTAGTTGGCACAAAAGTGTGTGACGGAAAGTGCTGAGACTTGGTAGCAACAAGAGAGGAGACCTAGGCCTCCTCTTTGGAGTGCCAGGCAAGAAAAGTGCAGCGGTGCCTGGTCCTCCTCCGCTCCTTTGGCGGAGTGAGAAAGAGGGAGCACAGACTGAGTGGGCTGTCTCTTGCATTGAAAAGAGGAACTCTCTTCCTAGCTTCTGTGTGACTTAGCAGAAAGTTTAAACTTTCTGCTATTAGCTGTTTCCAGTTTGTGGTTTTCTAATGCCAGGGTTCCACAGTCTCCTCGGGCTTTTTTTTAACATTATCATTCCGAGCCTTTTTCTGTTCAGTGAGAGGTTTCGTTCATCAGTAGTGGAGAGGGAACCCCCTGAGCCCTCGGTTGGCATGCTATGCTGTCCTAAGCCGAGAGTCCGATTCCGCTCCTGGAGGCGTTGCAGTTATCCAGCCGAGGCGCGGGGCGGCACCACGGCTTCGCGGGCCCTGGTCGCTGGGGCCGGT